GGATTTTCATTAGGGAGCAGAGGTGGAGCAGGGATGTGTGGTATATGTTAGCATGTTGTGGAATGCGGACGTGCAGACAGAGAAACCATGCCCGTGAACTGCATGTGCATGCTACAGCCACACTCTCTTGTTTGCCTGACCTCAATTTGGACCAATGCCGAAGTGACAATAGAAGATACTGTAGCCTTTCATGGGATCACAGTACTGCATTTGCTGCATTTGTATAATACGTACATCCTACATCTCCAATCTCCAATTGTTTCTCGTCTCTACAATGCACACTTGAGCAGCCGCCCTGCACAGCTTGAGGATGTACTTGCTCCAGAAATATGATACTTTGAGTGGCTTAGACCATTCCGAGTTCATCTCGAAAGATGTGCCTCCATGGCATATTTCTGTCACTCTGCTCACTAGTCATGGTTTTGTATGCTTTGTGATATTTTGGACTTGTTTTAAGAACGCCCGGGTGTCGGTTTACTGGGGTCGTGGCCGCCGACTCTGCCCAGGATGATACCTGTGGTCCTCAAGCAGATCCTCCCGCGGCCTGCCAGCAGTGGGAGTTTCTGGTTGAAGTTGACCCTTCATAGGCTTTGGCTACCACTTGAGGGGTGGTGGGTTACCTGCTGAGCAACTTGTGTGGGAGTGGCGAGCTTGCCTCTCCCAGACGTTGAGAATCGATTTGATCTATTCACCATCTCAGCCATTGGCCTCAGGTGGAATTCGGAATGTCCCTTGGATGCAGCGGGGCGTAACTTTTTTCCAGCGGTGCCTTGCCTCAGGACCAAGGCAACTGCCCCAAACCATGAATTGCCATTCCGCGGTGATGTATGATGCATAGTCAATAGCATGCATATGTATACATGATTATACATGTTGTCATGGTTGCGTGCGTTTTGTACATTTGGTTTGGCAATCATCTTCTTTCCTTGGGTGGTTTTCGTCACGGATCGGACCCCCCGGACCGAGTGGCCCACCCGTCGGCGCCAGGTTCTTCGCGGCGATCTTTTCCTCGGCGTCGGAGCGCAGCGCTTGGTTCCGCCGGATTTTGCGGGGCGAGGAGGAATCGACGCTTGGCTGATTCAGGGCCTGGAATCATTGGGGTCATGCAGCTTTCTCAGGAACCACACCAATGTGTGGCTGAATGTTTCTGCAGGAATGTGTGGCTGCCCAAGTTGGCCGATGTGGCGGCGGTGAATTGGGCCTTCCTCTTGGACACTTGGATGACTTGTGACTGTGGCTCATCCAAAACAAAGTGGCGGTAACACTGTTGAAGAAACTGTACTGGTCTTCTGGGGCTAGAGCTGCTCTTGCAGTTGGACGGGGCCAGCAGCCATGCGCTGTATCCGCTATCCACCTCGTGTCTGAGGATGAAAGTGCTGCAGCTGTCAGCAGCATCATGGAGGAGGATGGGTGAACATTGTTTGACTTAGATGGCCTCTGCAAATGAAGAGTTTGGGATGACCTTCTCAGTTGATTTGGCCGAACCCACTATCCCAAGCCATCTCATGCCACACCAACCCACAGGAGTCCGAGTTTGGCGATTTGGTCTTCGTCCCAACCACCCAGGGCCTTCGGTGGCCGAGCGCTGCTGCTTGCCTGGCAGTAGTCCGCCGCGATCGGGTTGAGCTTGGCTTGGCTCGTGCTGAACTGAGACGTGCCAGTCGTGGAAGGGTTTCCGATGCAGTGCCAGGCTTCAGGACGAACAAATCCGGACGGCGGGAGTGAACCACGAAGCATGCATGGTCATAACATCCCCTGGGAGAGTGCCTGATGGATCTGACCGTCATCAAGTCAAGTGCATTCAAGTGCCATCCCTTCAACGCCCTTTTTGGCCGGTGAGGCGCGAGCGTGAGGCACTTGTGCCACATACAAGTTTTACAATCGTCTTACCATCTTACCACTCTGGTGCAGTGCCGCCGTCCTTCCACCTTTGAGGAGCAGCTCCGATGGACCTTTGCATTCTTGCAGCCTGGCAGCATCAGACAGACTCAGACCGCCCGAAGGGCCGAAGGGAACTGCGCACACACACACACACACACGTGATGTGTATACACACCCGAAGGCTTCCCAGTCAGCACGATCCAAAATACCGCCAATGGACCCCGAGTCTATTGTACGGGGCTTCCACCCCGACAAGGTTCAGACAGCCGCCCCAGATTGGGTAGCTCCCACCCTGAAAGATGAACATCATGTCTGACACAGAAATTCTGCCTTGGGTGGCCTCATGGCATCATGCTGGAGTATCTGGAGTTTTTTTTTGGGGGGTGATACTGATACTCGTGATGGATGCAATTGTGAGGGTCATGTGCTGTGGCACGCTGTGGCTTTGAGGCAGCGCTTCCAGTTTCGCTGGCTGCTGCTGGTTGAAGAGGCCACCTTCGTGAATGCGGGCGTGTGCCTGGGCTCTGAAGCTGACTTGAAGAAAAAAATCTGTGACTTTTGCTTGGCGCTCTATTTCTTGAGAACCTGCCGTTGACATCGCCATTCTTGTTGTCGAAATGCGTGGCACTTCGATGCAAGAAGCAGCAACTCCAGACATGAGGGATGCAGTTGTTGCCTCATGGACCCCCTTCGCAGGTGACGAAATAGGAAAGCTCCCATTGCCATTACACCTGGATGTGGCATATTTAGTGGACACGTACTCGATTTGCATTTGTCGTGGTGTTTTTGCCTGGCCCACCTTTCAAGCGCCAATCAATCCTTTTGTTTTTCTTTGGTCTTCTGGTGTCGCAGCTGTCTCAACCTGGAAATCCTTGCCCAACCACTCCTTGCCGATTGGGTCGGCCGGCACGAACCAGAGATTTGCTCAAATCAGTCGTCATCGCCGGGCTTCCGCCTGGTCCGAGGCTTTTCAACGTACTCTCCAGGGTGGAGCAGGCCTGGGAGAATGCTGCGAGCCGCACCGTGCTGGGCGGCTGGACCGCTGCAGGGCCACGTGGCCGGTTACATATATAAATATAAATACAGTATATATCTAATATATAAATACATACAGTACAGAAATAAATAAACTATATATAAATAGATAAATTTAAAAGACAAACACACACACACATATATACATATATATATATATACAGTGGGTTCAGACTAGATGGCACAGGATTCAAGATGTCTTTGAGATGGTGGTCCATGTAAACCCCCGACCTTGGGGTCTGTGCCATTTACTCTCAATCCTCTGTATCTTTATATATATATTATAGAGATAACGAGAGATAGAAATGTAGAGATAGAGAGATACAGTAGCCTGAGAGAGAGAGAGAGAGAGAGAGAAAGAGACAGACAGCGAGCGAGTGGGCATTTGGAAGTAGAATTACAGGCGACGACGCCTGAGGTGCGCGAATGAATGCCTATACGGTAGTCAACCAGAAAGGGATGCTCGCAGAAAAAGGTTGACAAGCATGATTTCCTTTATTGTGTGGGGGCGTTACCGGCTTCTACTGTATTCCATTGTAATTTTTGATAGCCAAACACCAACCGTCACAAGTTTGATCCCTTCGAAATGCTGGGAGATGCTGAGGTTGTCGCCAGAGTTTGTGGTTCTGACGCAGGAGCTGTGCTATGTCCTTGCTTGCTACACATCAGGGTCGGCTGTGGCTGAGAAACTGCCGTCATGTTGATTGATCATAATCACATCGCCCAGACACATCTCGTTCAAAAGCTCTCTAACAAACATGCAATGTCCAACTTGCAGAGCGCTGGCGATCACCTTGTAGGTACAGAAGGAACCTCACAGAAAACCCTGGGTCTATCAGTCGATCGGGCGCCCCACACAGCAGCTGGTCCACCTATCCGCTGGAAGGATGTGCTCCATCTCTTGGGCTCCAAGCGGCTGGTCCGCTGGTGGCGCACTTCGTTTGAGAACTATGGGGAGGCGCTGGAGGCCTGGCTGGCGCCATTGGCTGTGCAGCGGGAGGCGATGCCGGGAGTCTACACAGGTGGGCGGAGGAGTGCTGGTGGCGGAAGGAGTCCCAATAGATTAGGACGAACTCTTTGCACTCCAGAATGTGCTCTTAAACAACCTTGGAATACGAGTCCCACATTTACACGCATTGCTTTAGAATGTCCATTCTCCATCCCTATTGGTTTGTCATCGTCCTGGGCAGTTTTTGGTGAGGTCGCAGTGGCGTGTGCCCCGCGGATGCTGCGGTGCTGAACCCTGTGGAGCCAAACGACTTGCTGCTGCTCAGCGAGGCCGCTGCGGAAGGCAGGATGCCCAGGGGGAGAAACTCAGACGCTGACGCTGAGGGGTCCATCAAGGTCCTTCCACATGTGAGGATCATGGTTGAATGAATTGTCTAGGTATGTTTCGGTGAGATGGTTTAAGGGGACTGAGGAGGTTCATTGCAAAGATAAACCCTAGCCGCCCCTTGCATGTGCAAAAAGCACCACATCACCACCTGTATATGAATTTCTTATGTACATTAGTTGGCACCCGGTGCTTGTGTCAGCAATAGAGTTAGTTCTCAACTCATTGGTCTTGCTCCTTGATGGTTTGGAGATGGGGGAAAGCTGTGAGATTTCCGAACAGCGGTGCTGCTCTCCTTGGTGATGTTTTGGTGTCGGATGTGTTTGGTGTCGGTCCTCATCGTCCTGGCAGCTCGGCAGTTCAGCCCTGCGAAGTACTACAAGGCTTGCAGGCCTAGGGGACAGCCAAGCTCAGGCCTGCGAAGTACTACAAGGAGGCTGAAGATGGACCTGCCAAGCGGAGTCTGCGAGTGACAGGGAGTGAGCGACCAGAGAGGTGGACGCGAAGGTGCGGCGCAGCCTGACAGCCCCGGCAAAGCATTTCGGCACCTTGGACGGCCTGCGGATTCTTTGAGCTGAAGCTGTTGCAGCAGGGTTTCTTTGGGACTTCGATCACCTTGACAGCGATCTCACACGTAGAACGAGCGACCGGCATCGGAAAAAGAACGCGCTGCGAAAAAGAACGTTGGACCGACGAAGGGCGACAGCTTGCCATGCAATGGTGTGTTTCAGCTGACGGTTGTCCGGCTGAGGTTGGACGGTTGCTGCAAAGCTTGGCGCCGGCTCAACACGTCCTGGTGTGCACCGGGCTGCATGTAACTGGTGCATGTGTGCAAGCCGCCCACAAAGATAAAAATTGTTCTTTGCCCGGCCTTAGGCATGTGGATGAAAAGCGCCTGCCACCCAGGGCGGTTTTTTCCCAAAACTCACTCAGTGTCGCGTGCTTTTGGCGGTTGGGTTTTCAGGGCAGTTGGCGGTTGAGGTCCGACATACTTCCAGATGCTGAGAGATTTAGCCGCAGGCCCAGCCAGGCTACCAGGTCCCACGAATCGTACTGGTAGGTTGTAGATGTAGATTGCTTGGCGAGTCTCTGGGCTAGGGCCTTTGTGAAGTACGGGATTGTGACCAAAGAAGACCTGACTGACTGTGCCTGCCATCCCTCCCACGAATGTGACTGCAAACGGCCACAAACCACCGCGTCTGAGGTTCGCGAGCTCGAAATGCCCAATGTCACTGTCATCTCTCGCTACCGAGTGAATCGCGGGGGTGCTACTTGGTCGCTGGGAACGCTTGGGAGACAGGGTGGGACCCGGACAAAGTGCACTTGTTTCTAATAGCAAAAATTGTTACTACTAGCGTGGCACCTGTTACTACTAGCGTGGCACTTTGTCCTTAGTGACTTAGTGGAGATGTTGCCGATGGACCAACTGTGCAAGCACTACTTACGACGCGCCCTTTCAGGAGTATAGAATTTCAGAAAAGCGAACGACCGCCGATACACCCACTAGCAGCCTCCGGGGCATAGTCATTTTTTCCAGATAGGAACAGCGGTGAAGGTGAGTGAAGCACTAGCTTTCAGGGTGAAAAGTCTCAAAGGAGAGTAGCCTGCCGTAGTTTAGTTTGGTGGTGCATTTGATGTTTGAATTTGAAGCTCAGCATTTGTGCACGGGCATGCCTTGAGAACCAAGATCCGCCAAGTGATCGTAGTGGATGATCCCGGCAGGGATGATTTTGAGCCTTTGAGTCTTGAGCTATAAAATAGGGGCGCATGTGCCCGAGCCAACCATATCAATACACAAAAGGCTGTTTTTGTTTTGTTGTTCTTCTACGAGCTTTAATCCTTTAAAAAGGTTAGCGGAGGGGCATCTACTGTATCAGATCTTGCCCTAGTCGGACGCTTGGGGCTTCTCGAGCCACCCTGTTTTTTCACCAGCCAGCAGAATCCGTTCAGTGGCTGAGGTTAGCACTCTCACGGCCTGGCTGGGGGGGATGTCTTGGCTTTTGGAGCATGTGAGGCTCCTAGCCTGGTCGTTTTTCGGCGCTCCTTGGATGTCTACTTTTTAGCACTGAGGGTTGATTGTAGACGTTTGAATCTGCAACCTTTTCATGACTTTTTCTGCTAGAGGTCCTTGGGTGTTGCGGAGCCCGTCTTGAGGTGAGCGAATGGGACTACTACATCAACCTCAATGCCGGAAGCTCAGCTTGTAACATGGTTGTGCTTTGTGCACTTCTGGAGCCCCTTTGGAGCTTGTTTTTGTGCATCAGGGCAGCTCAGACAGTGACTGTTGGTCTTTCTTTTGTGCTCATGCCGTTTGAGGATTCGGACTATCCGGTGGCCAAGTTGGAATCGTTGCAGCGGTTCTTGTGGCTAAACCAGGGGGCGAACTTCATCAACGTGGGCTCAGCTTACAAGGACTGGATCAATCCACATGTGCCGGAAATGGTCAAAAAAGACTGAATATATAGTTCTTTACGAGACGTGCCGTTCAGGAAGCACCAGTCCTATTGAAGCTTTGGTCCACAATCGGGCATGAAAACATCTTCTTGCCATGCGGCGCCTTTGTCCAGCTTGCAGAAGTAGTCCCAAGCAACCGATCTCATCGTCTGATGGTTCAACCATTATCTTGGCATATCTTGGCCAAGGCCGCCCTCGTCGCCTTGCGGTCGCCGTGCCTCGAAGCCAGGACTGTGACTGCGGGCGGTACCTGGTCTTTGAGTGCAAGGATGAGTTGTACTCTATCGCTCCAGAGCTGCAGTACCCTCGCCGGCCACAGCTGCAGCATGCCTCCGGGCCCAACCTGGTGGCAATCACCAAAGATATGGCCATGTATATTGATCCTTTGGCTGGCAGTCCGGGTTGGATCCAGGTTGGCACCATGGCCGTGGGGCTGGTCGGTGGGAGCCAGGCGGTGGAAAGAGGGGTTGGCATGGGGACCAAAGGAGCTATTTTTTGCATGTTCATGGTGGAGAGAGTTGGTTGTTGGTAATTACCCTTGCAGTAAACGTATGTTTAAGCCTCTCGGAAGGTATCGTATGTAAACTGAGATCCAGATGGCCTCATTTTGGAGATCATGAGATCCCAGGATCGGAATCGGAACATCCCTGGCACGGCAGTGCAGAATGTGCTTGAAGATCTTAGCATTCTTCAGCAACCTGATGAGAAGTTCTTCCAGATCCTTGGCCTGAATGAGAATGAAGCAGGAGCTTCCATCTAGTGGAAGGGCTTGGATTACAACTATATATAACACACTCTCTGGGAGCGTTGGGAAGTGCATGGCAACCTGTTGGGCGATGGCACGTTTCCGTGCCATGATGCATCAACACATGACTGGGAACAGCCCTGGCGCACAAACCTGCCACGTGCCGTCAAGGTTAACGGAAGAACCAGTTCTCCGAAAACATGTGATGACACCTATCACCCACCAATTAATATGTTGAATATTTTTTGCAAGACCAATGCCAAGGGACTTGTGCCATCCTTACCCCCAAGCCAATGAGCAAAGAACATCCAAGGGTTTGTATTTCTTTTGGAGTCTATGTTAGCTTTGGGAGATGGATGTTTATTTGGACTCACCATGTTTCCCACCACCCAAGGACAATGGCGCTGAACAGTTGGAGAGCCCAGCCCGAGGGCCCTCCAAGGGGGACGAAGGGAGGGCACGCAAGGTCTTCAGAAGTGGGAGGCGGTTGTAGGTGATTTAGTGAGGTCATTTACTGTATATAGATGAAGCTTCTCAAAACCCAGTTCCTTGCAAGATTCGATGCTTCTCAAAACCCACGCTTTTTTCACTCCGAGAAGGCTCCACTTTTGGCCACAAAGGCCACGACACTTGATGTTGATTGAGGTTTTAGGCCAGACCCACAGACCAGGTCAGCACAAAAGGCTGGGTTGTTAACCATTTCTGGTCTGTGTACCACGAAGAATCGACGAAAAAAGTGGCCCTTTGGTCCAGCTGAACATGCCGCCGCCTGAGGCCCCTTCTGCCGCCGCCACGTGCGCTGGGGCTTCCACATCTGGGACCGGCCCAACCTGGCGCCCGACGCTGCGAGCCCGGAGGTGGCGGGACCGGAGCCTCGGCTCAGGTGACTCGGGTGGGTGAGATGGAGATGAACCTACTTCAAGGTTTTCGGTGGTTTGGTACGGTGCATGTACTATATATATATATATATGTCCAATTCCTGGTTGTTTGCGGAGTTTGGGTTTTCCATCACTGGATGGGAAATGAACAGTTGCTGCTCGTTCTAGAAGCTGTTCTGAGGGGGTTTGTCATTCCAAGACGAGCTGGTCTCCACTCCATGTTGTTGCTGACAAAGTGCAGGGTTTTTAAAGGAATCTGATGGAATTCGTTTTCAGTGTTGGACATAGCGTTCTTTTTTCACATGCACGATTCTCACCTTGCCAAACATGAAGTTGTAGTTTCAGTACCTCTGAAGATGCACTCTTCATTGAAAGACAGTACGCGGCACAGATCCCAAGAGGAGACCAGGCCTTGGCTAAGCCATGTTGTTTGGGCTTTGTTCATCCTTTTTTTGCAGGTAGGGTGTTGGCCTCTAAGATGCGCTAAGTAGGCACCATTGGCCTGCCAAAGCAGTTTAAGCCTCCTATGTGCGTATGCATGTGTTACTTCACAGGATCAGCGGGAAATCGCTTATGGCATGGAATCGGAGACCGTTGGTTCTTCCCTCTTCCTTCACCAATACAACGAACCAGTCAAGGCCCTGACTCCGGGGAAACGAGTGCCTCGTGTTTTTTATTTTTGCTTTGCGCGCCGCTGTGACCGAGGAGCTGAAGATGCTCACGCCACCCTTACTGTCGCAAAGCTTCTTCCAACGCCTTGTTGATGTAAAGCGATGCTTTGGCGCACCACGGACCATTGAGGAAGAGCTGCGAACCGACACATGGGTTTTGGACGGTCCTTTTTGGCTTGTGGTTGCTGGGAATTATTGGATGCCCCTCCACCTCAGATACGATTCTAGTCCAGATCCATGTCTAGACAGGTAGTTGTTTAAATATGTGCGTTCTAACTGAAATGGGTGCCGTAAGAAGGATAGGAACGCCGGGCCGCCGGACTAGATTGAAGTTGAATCTGAACTCCCTTGATTTGAAAGCAGGCTCGACTGCTCGAAGTCTGAATCCTCGGCGTGGTTGACCCTTCCCCAATTCACTTTCTAGAGAGCTTATCCTACATGACTACATGTGCACACTGCTCACAGCTCTTGGCGCAAAACCGTACGACTACTGTGGACGTTCGACCCTGTATAGAACTGCTCCTTGGGATTTGTGCCCAGTCTTGAGGAGTGGTACTTGACCCACTCAGTGTTCCCATGTTTTTCTGCTTCCACTTCTGCCCGAGGACAGCGGATGGCTGTGTTCTTTGCACGTAAGTTTGACAACAACCGCACCAAAGAACTGCAGGAGCGCTGGTGTGCAGAAGGCCTCAGGTGTGAAGTATTTTCATTTCAAAGCCATCAGGTGTGGAACATGGGTCGGTCATGAACAGGATCATGATCAGGCCTCAGCTATGGTCTCATGATTTTTTCCGGCTTTGCTGACTTCATGCAGCTTCTTCTTGGGAGAGGCTCAAGCAACGGATTCGATGGACATTCAAGCAGTAATGAATTGCATCTGTTTACTTCGAAGACGTTGCAATGATTCCGCCCTCTCTACATCACATTCCCTTTGTGCACACACGCGCGCACCTCGCACGAACCTGGCCTCACATCATCTCTACATGACCTGCCACTAGCCCACCAAAGTCTAACCCATTTTGATCGGTCAATTGCGTTGGACCTCCAGTGTGGCGCTGAAACGCCGTAGCCAGGCGTAGCCAGGCGTAGCCAAGGCTCCGAGCTATGCTGCCTTTACATGTGGAGTCGGAACGTCCATCGTTCATGCACTCACCATCGCTCTCCGAATACTTGCGGCGGATGCTGCACTACGCGCAGATGGACATCGACTACACGTTTGCACAGATGCTCTACCTCTGCATTGCACCGAGGAAGGTGTATCAGCTCACCTCCTACCGGAAGCAGACCAAGAATCAGTGGGCCAGAGACGATCCTGCCTTTGTGGTGGTCTTGATCTTTTTCCTCACTGTGACAGCCATTGCTTACAGCATCGCATTCCAGGCACGAGGCACCGACTTCCTCCACATTCTTGTACGCTTCATAGTGATGCACTTCATTTTCTTCGGCATAATGGTCTCCACGGTGTCCTGGTTTGTGGCCAACAACTACATGCGGGCACAGTCCTTCCATGGAGTAGAGCAGAAAATGGAGTGGATGTATGCCTTTGATATTCACTGCAACTCCTTTTTTCCCTTCTTCTTAGTGCTCTATGTCTTTCATTACTTCTTGCTCCCCTTCTTGTCGCAAACCACATGGTTGGCCGCCATCTTCAGCAACATCCTCTATGGAGTCGCGGCATGCTACTACCTCTATATCATGTCCTTGGGCTACAGCACGCTACCATTCTTGGAGCGCACAGAGGTGATTTTGTATCCTGCAGGCGTTGTGGTGCTGCTCGCTCTGCTCCTGAGCCTGTGCCGGGTGAACTTGACACTGGTCTCCTTGCAGTATCTGGGCATCTGAGCGGCGTCACTGTGAATGCAACAGTGTCCTGGAACGTGTGATCTCTGCAAAGCTCGTGAAAAAGGAGGGATCGGTGCAGCATCCACCTGCAAAAGCATTGCAAAGCTGTCTCCCACTGCGCTAGTTTCATTACATTTCATATTGACCCCCCTCCCCACCTCTAAAGGGGAGTCTTCCCTTCTCGATGGGCTCGCTGGGTCGCTCCGCACCGTCCAGGACCAGATCGATGCTTTGGAGACGAGCGGGCGCTGGGCGCCGGTGAGGTCAGGACTGGAGGAGTGGGTGAAGGCCAGGGCAGTGAGAGAGGAAGGTATGGGAGATGGCTCCAAAAAGCCGATTGGACCTAGACCTAGACAACCCAGAGAGAGAGAGAGAGAGAGACGTTTGTGAAGTGAAAGCATCACAGAACATCTGCATATGCACACACACACACATGTATATATATATATATCCCTCTCCCTCTCTCTCAGAGTTTTCCAGCTATCTGGGAAACATAGCGTATTGACTCAGCCAATAGGCTTCACCAAGTTTTGCCGGGTTTCTGAAAGTGGGCACCAACAATGTTTTGAGAACCGCTCCACGCGTCACACATGGTTCATGTGTGGGTGTAAGTATTATAGGGGTATCAGAAGCAGGGTTTATCAAGGGCCTACTCTATCGACTCTCCAAACCACAGGCGAAACAAGTGGTAGGTATAGCATAGATGTTACTTAATGAAATTTGGGTGATCCATTCTTCTTGGCAGTTGGTTTAACTCAGCAGGTTGGCAGAGATGGTCTTCATTTAAGAACTTAGCCCCGGTTAAACTTGTCTCACAGATGATCAGCCTGCTATAGCGTGTTTCGGGCGAACGGGACGGATGATCCTGTGAACGGAGGCCCTAATGCTGGGATTCGCCAACGAGAGCGTGCCCTGGCGGCTGGGAGGGCTCCAAGCAAAGCGAACTGACCACTGTCAACCGTGGTTCTCCGCCTCAGTTGGTTTGGCGTGCTTTGGCTTGCCAAAAAGTATGTATGTAATTATGCAACGCGTTAGGCTTACGTCGATCAAAGCACGTGACAGGGATACTGGCATGCCTTTACACTTGCCTATCAGAGCCACCGTCAACCCCGAACGATGGGGCATCACGAGCAAGTTAGCAGAAGAGTCTAGCTCAAGCACCAGAAATGCCATTCAGCCATCAGTGATCAGTAAGCTTTTGACCGCGGCTTTCTTAGCCATGCTTAGCATAGCCGATGTTTGTAGCAAGGGCAGTCATGTTGGTTTCAAGAGGCCGTGAACAAGAGGCAGTCATAGTCTAGCTTCTTTTTGTATTTTGTTCCGGCGACAGCTACATGTCGAAAGTTGGGGCTGAGGTCGCCAATATCACCAACCTGGAGGCTTCCAGCTGACGATGGCAAAGGGTAGGTGGGTGTAGATGGTGCCAACTCAAAGACCCATTGCCATAGACCATAGTGACATATTCATGTCGCTCCCGACATCGAACTAACAACGTTTACACCAGGAGGCTAGGGGGATGCGGGTTCATAGGAACGTAATAGCTTTAGTTAGCACGGAACAGGGGCGGGCATGTATGGAAGTCACAGTTACAGGCCCAGGAAAAGTGTTGGTAGCTCAAGGAACGAGGCACAGGCCCATGTTCGAACGGCACAGGACAAAAGAGCACAACTTTCAAAAGTGCATACTATCGGCCACGTTTTTCCGGCCAAGGCAGCCCAAAGGTCAGCCAAGGCCCATGTTGCAAAATCTCGCCCGGAAACAGGTCACCGTAGTACCCCTAGATTTGGGATCTTGCTGGGGTGCTGTGTTGCTGGTAGGGGTAGTTGGAATGTAGCGGTCGGGTGCTTTTGAAGGACGAATGATGTGTTCAATATTTCTGACCATAGGACTTTCAGGACAATTCCCCGCGGTTGTTTCCTGCAAGTAGTTGAGTTCATGTCAGTTTCCTCCTGTAAATAATTGGGAATTTGCGCATATCGCCCAACATCGAGAACTTTCTTTGCCCAATTCCTTGTTGAACAATGGTAGCATTTTGTCACGTTGGTTGGAGAGGACTTCAGCATTTCCCTCTACCAATGGTGATGGTGATGATGAGAATGCGATGACTACTCGCTGGGGTCTTGAAATGGTCAACGGTACAAACCCGATGTCCTGTAGGTGTGGCAGCACGAGACTGGGCCAGTTTTCTTTCACGTGGAGCCGCCGACTCAATATATTGGTGTTCGCGCGGGTTCTAATCGTCGTTCGACGTTTTCTTTTGTTTTTTCTTCTTATCGACTTGCCGCTTCCATGTCGCCACCCGAGGCGCTTCCGCGGGCGCTTGTCTCTCCCGTGTGCCCGCCGCTGTCGCCTCACCGGGCACTTGGCTCCCGGGCCAAATCTAGTGCAGGCTCTACCTACTTTACGGAATTGCCAGGGGCATCAAACACCGTCAAACACCTCATTGTAGCTGCGGAGCAGATCTTCAGAACACTTCAGATAAGATTTAGAAAACATTGTTTTGGAAGGCCTCTTAGAATCTAGGAGCTGATGTGGACACTAGCGGGTCACTGGCGCCATGTCTACGAGATGGCTCAAAGCACCTTTCAAGGAGCGTGTTCACGAGAAGCCCCTCAGAGCACCCCAAAAACTGATGGGAGTCACCCTGTTTTTTCACCCTTGGATCTACCGGCCTTTCCTTGCCTCCAACCGCCGCACCAGATCTTTTAATGATCTTTTTTACATGGCCACGCGGTGACAATGTTGTGAAACCGACGTGCATGTTGATGACACGCGGCTGGTGACACCATCAATGTCCCACCCGCTCGCCCCTCGCGTTTCGATGTGTTTCGGCTAAGCTGCTCAACCTCTGCAGCGAGCCTCACACTGTGTATCTACACTGGCCGTTCAAGGAAAGCAGTCCGCCTGGCTTGCCTTTTCCCTTTCGCAGCACTTGGCACCGCACTTGCATTACGTACGTGTGACTGCTCTCAATACCGTGTTCAACCCCAACTCCCCCTGCACTAGCTCCCTCTTCCCCCTTTGTAATCAAAGGCCCATGCGATGACACTAGTTGGAACTTGCTGACAATGTGGTGAAGCTGATGACAATGTTGTGACTGATGACATATCCAAAAGCAGGTGACACTATAAACCACCGGAAAACGCCAGGCGACCCATCAATCCACGGGCAACTAGAGATTCCGCTGTAAGAAGATGGATGTCCAATTGCAAAGCATTAGTTGAGCACTACAATCTGTTCAGAGCAGGAGCACAATAGATGGTGAATGATTAATGGAGATGATATCCACCCAGCCTGGAAGTGGGCTCTCCTGAGGTTGTTGAAGAGTTGGCGGCAAGAAGCCCAATGATTTCCCAGTCGGAGGCGAATGGACAGATCCGGCCAAACGAAGAACCCCCAATAGGGGAAAGGCGATGAAAGGCGTGTTGGTGATAATGACGAGGACCACTTGTTGGAGTCTAAAGTTTCAAGGTCGAGTCGAGTCATTCCTTTTGGATCCTGGCGACCGGGATGCAGTCTGACTAGAGGATCACACCATGGCCATATGGCCAGCGGCTAGATCGGTCATCCAGTGGCATTCATGATGATGAAGATGAAGAAGAAGACCTCCGTTTGGTGAGTTACAGTGAACATCGGCCGGCAGGGCTGTTGTTGTGGGACCCATATTGATCAAGCAGAGAAGAAATGAGGCAAGAGGCAAGGGTTCGCAATCTATGAAGAATTTTGGAGACGAATGAGCCGACCCTTCCGATTTCATCAGCCGTCGCATTGCAGGGAGCATCAGTGATTGAGCCTGGGAGCCGAGGAGGGAAGGTTGAAGGAGGCGGATGTATGATGATGTATGGGTGTACAGGTTGTATTCTATGTCGTGGCTGAGGGCCAAGGGGGGCCCACGGGGATGAAAGAGATTCAGGAACTGCCTTGAGGACATGGTGGAGCATGGCACTCATGTTGACCATTCGAGTCCTACCAGAAACCTGCGAAGGAGTAGGCCAGCCCAGGTCCCCACTCCTTGTGGCCTTGCGGGCTGGCACCTCAGGTGGTAATCGCGGAAGACATGGGGACTTCCTAACCAATTCTTGAGGCAAACGCTGGAGGATCTCAGAAGTGACTAGACTCACTAGACTCTTAGATCCTGATCCAGCATTGCTGGACCTTGTCTGTGCACCATTGCAGATGGGTTTTGTGGATGGCTGTTTTTTGGGGTCCACATAGAGACAGATGGGTTTGCCACTCAGGTGGGCCTGGGATGGGATGTTGAGACCTTCTCCTTCGGGACCATGTCGGCCGTAGCCTCGGGGGTTCAGGTGTGGTGACCTGCTTGATGGAGGAAGCTTGGATTGACGATCGCTGAGTGTCGCTTGTGGCTAGATGAGCCAAGCACATGCGCAGCTAGTACTAGGCAGCCAGGAGTTGTCGGACCATTTGGACAAAACCCGTCTGATTCTTTCCGCAGACTCTGGCTCAGACCCGTGGCCGGCCCAGCAGCCCGTGAGGCCCCGCTTGGTCGCTCTGTGTTGCTTGGTCGCTCCGAAGCTCGTCGCCTCAGGCGCGGAAGATGGACGGCGTGTCGTTGAACATGCTTCTTGGAAGGACGAAAATCAGAGGGGGCCGAAGCTGCGAAGCCGATCGGATTCGGATGCAAAAGGGCAGAAGAGAGCAGAAGGCATGTGCCTGATGAAAGGCTATTTGGTTGTTTGGCTGCCCAGCTTGCAAGAAACCTACAGCAAAAGAGTCATGCCGCATCATGCCCATTATAATCATTATATACATGTTTGCACGACTTGCAAATGCCGTAAAACAGGATGCTACAAGTTATTGGTCAGATGTCGGGCCAATCTTCAAGAGAGAATCCCGTTTGACAACCTTTGAGGCTTCAAGTGCTTCTGGCCATCATCCTGGCTGCTGCATCCATTTCCTTGCTCACCAGTGCAGGGGTCATCCATCGATGTCCGGCCGCTGAGAGAGAGAGAGAGAGAGCAGCATGAACTGTTTGGAGTTGTCCTGGATTTTATCGGGCTTTACGGAGACGATCCAGCTGCTGGTGTTCGTAAAGAGGCAAGTATATACTCTACCTGTGGCAGCATTCAGATGCTTGAAGATTCAGCTGTTCGCCGCTGCCGCCTCGAGGCCCTATGTGCCCTGGAGCCACGGGGTACGGCGCCTGTGCTGCGGCGCAGGACCCATTCTTCGAATGGGGGGGTCCTTTGAAATGAAGACAGATCCAAATTTGCATTTGGCTTTCCTGGTGTGGTGCATCTACAAGCCAATGCTCAACCTGCCTTTAATAAAGTCCAACTCTTTTGCAGTGTGAAGCATGGAGGCAAGGTCGAGAGGCCCATTCTTGTTGATTGAGAGGTGTTTCTTCTTCTTCTTCTTCTTCCTCTTCCTTCTTGGGTGCTTGTGCCTTGTGGTGGCCTCTTCTATGTGATGTTCATGTGTAGCTGTGGATTTTGTCACTCTCTTCTTGAGCCTGGGTGCTGCCTAGACAGGATCTCAAGGTCTTGGCCAGCTTCCTCCTGGGCGTCATCGCCTGCAAGTCCGCCGACTTCCGTTTCGTGGCGGGTACGGTGGGCTGTGGGGCTGTTCGGTTTGGCCTTGGAGCTGGAGAGCCACTTTGGTAGGTCGGAGTCCTGTGCTTGTGCTTGTGGTGCTTGTTCTTGTGTGACGGTAAGACGGGAACTTTGTTGTGGGCTTCATCAGGTGGCCAGAATTGAATCGTTTGAGCCACCACTTGGGACTCCCACGCTGAATGAGGTGACAGGCTAAGCGGCTAAGCAGCTAACGATGCAAAAAGCGGCAAAAGATGGCTGTCACACCGGGGGTAGAGGACGCTACTAGATGGCTCCTGGCATCGCTACTAGGAGCAAGGACGCTCCTAGGAGCAAGGACGCTACTAGAGGCTCCTGGCCGTACTACTGGGAACAAGAAGCTACTAGGAGCTTATAGCCCACCGACCGGTCGGTGGCTGCCCAGCACCGAGGCTCCCCAAGCCGCTGTGACGGTGCGCTGAGCGACCGGACCTGCGACGAGACCATGGGGTCCTCGTGGTGCGAGGTTTCATAATGTTTCATATTCTGCATTCCTTCCACTTGAGCATTTTTTGTTGAAGTGGATGCAGTGTTTTGGGGTTGATGACACGTATTTCCCTTGTCGATGACGGTGTTGGTTTGATGGTGTCTGTGGTTGGGACAGTGGCTCTCTGGCTGCTGGAGCAGGTCCGGCGCCATGTGAGGTGGAAAGAAGTCCTATGACCCCAAAGGGCGGGAGGGAGGCCTATTGAAAAGGAGAGTTCCTGAAAAATGTTGGACATTCATGGACTAGTCTGGATCAGTCACTGATCAGACCTATGTGGTGGGCTCCAGCCGCATGCCTTATGGTCCCGGTGATCCGAGCTCCGAGTTGAGAGGTGACGATCCGAGCGCCAGAGGCGGTGGTCTTCATTGCTGGCTGGTGTGGTGAGGCTCCCCCCTCTGCCGCATCCAACGGTTGGGGCGAAAAGCCGAGGAGTGACCACCGTGGAAACAGGAGCCGAAGCGGGATCCGGACTGTTTGGACATTCCAAGGCCACTCACTTGGATCTAAACATAAATCATCCAGAAGATGTCATAGGACCTAGGAGGGGTGGGTTTCCCAAAGGCAGAAACCGCTCAATTGGAGAGGAGTGTTGAAAGAGCAAAACCACAGTGTTCTCTTCCAAAATAACGCCTAGCGGCTTAGCGCTGCCTAGGACATCCAGCCAAGCTTCCAAGGGTCTCGTTGAGAGCTTCGTTGCGGCAGGTTTGCAGTGGCAAGGATATGGGACATTTGGAAGCTGAGGACGACAAGTCATTTAGGGTGTTGTGAGCAGAGGTGAGAGCTTTCAGGGCATATCCAAGTCCTTACGAGTTGACATCCGCAAAGAGAAATGAACCTATGTCATGCACTTTTGCATGTCAAGCATCAGATTGCTTTGAGGACCAAGCTGGAGGAAGATGGGGCTGTAGAGCTGCCGTAGACCAGACTTGAAGCTTTCACCAATTTTTGTGTACAGGAATTCACCCGAAAAAGGGCCGCTGGGATGTTGGGAAGCTGCGGATGCAAGAGATCTCTGCAGATTTCCCGGCCATGTACAGGGCCTGTGGCGAGCCACTGGTCGCGGGACAACCTTCAGTATGAGCAGAAGAAGGCCTGAAGTCACCACATCTGCTGCGGCCACGATCAGTGACCCTGCTCCACGCCAGCTCGAATGAAGCTTCGGCACTTATGCAGACGGGTCAGCTTGGTGGAAGAACATTTTTTTCCGAACCTTGTGAGCATTATTGGGCACTTCTCGGGAGCTCAAGCCACTCCGAAAAGGATCATTTTGTGGCAAATTGAACTTGAACATAGATAGCTCCTCCTCAAGCACCAGGGAGGTTTGGGAGAGGCTTCAGATATGTGGTGTAATCTGGGAATCAAACACGCCATCTCAAACATGCTTGCCATCTCCGCAACAACTGGTGGCCTTGAACCGGTGCCTTGCGGTGCGGCACCGGTGCACTGCCTCAGGTCATCCCAGAGCACTCGGGTCAGGGCCTCCAGAGTCCATCGCTACAGGCCATGAGTGCTTCCAGTGGGTGTGCGTGCTGGCTCCCGAGGGAAAGACCTTGAGCTGGTCATGTACTGGAGCCATGCTGCGGCAAGGCGCTCGGAGGACTGCTCTTTGAAGCAGATGTGACTAGGTGGTGCTGGAATGAGTTGAAAGAGGGAGGCAACAACTTGGGGCAAAGCCCTCAGTCTCGACAAGTCTGCTTTGGATTTGGCTTGTGTTTTTGAGAACTTGCTAGACTAGATCAACACCTCAAGCCCCGAATGCATGGATAACAGAGCGATGAAGAACGTGCTGACCACCAACATGGAGAGTCCCCAAGAATTCCCTTGTGGACCCCTTGTGATCCACAAGGGGGATGCGGAATGAATAACCAGATTCCCGTAGAGTTATACAAGGATGGATGGACAATGCAGGGGACCTACAAATATCTATTGGGACCATTGTGGGTGTTTGTGAATCTTTTCAAGTTATGTCTCTCTCTCTCTCTCCCCTTTTCCTCCGTTTTGTTGTCAATTTCGATTGGGAACTGCCAGGAGAGGCCACCGCAGGAGCTAGAGGTGCACTTGAGAAAAGACGCCGGGGCGGAGCGGCGGAGTGGATGGACTCTCAAGAAAGCCTCAGTGTTCAGGTGATGGGGAATGGCTTATGATCCATTATGTTTTTGGATCCCGTATTACGATCTCCAGCAGAATTCCAGTCGTGACTTGCACAGGTGTCAACCCTTGTTGCATGCTAGGATGATGCTGAGTCCTTTTTTGGTCGGCTGGGTTGACGCAGGCATCTCGCGCGCAGGTACGATGGCTGGGGCCCCGGCATCGCCCCAGCATCACGTGGCGCTCGAGCTGGTCGTCTCAGCTGGTCTCGTGGGCGCCGATGCCGTGGGGAGTCCTAGATGAACAAATGCAGCGGTGGGATATACAGTATATGTCTTAGATGTGGAGATCCCTTCATCAACATCCATCAACATCCCATTGAGAGGAGGGAACACATCCATCTTTATGGGTTTGGTGGCGTGGTTCTTTGGGATCAACTCAGCCCCTCCCTGTGACCGTAACATACCGTAAGCCGTAAATCATGGTCTTCAGACATCCCATGCTCAGGTCCGAAGGGCGCGTTGAACCTGGAGAATGGAAGGTGGAGGTTTGGTTGGCCGGCCAATTGCAGGGGCTTCTTGCCATGCGGATGTGACACGTGGAGAGGGAAGCAGCACTCCGAGACCTGCAGAACAGTCTGTGTGAACAATGGCCCAAGATGGCCCCCTTGGTTCAGGGACCCCCCATGCTCCGATCACCACTGTAGCCCTGGAAACAGTGTCGGTGTGTCTCGATGCAGGCACGTTTGGCAAGAAGTCTAGTAGCTTCTTGTTATATACTAGTAGCGATGCCAGGAGCTACGATCGTAGCGTCCTTGCTCCTATAGTAGCGATGCCCTTTGTTCCTAGTAGCTTCTTGTTACCTTCCTTCCCTACATTTCTAATGTCACTTCCTCCCATGTGATGATGTGGGCATCTGAGGCTTCGGCGCTTTCATGTGGGTGCAGGCGAGGGAGAGGAGATGAAAGAACAGATTCAGATGGAGGGAGTCGGAGGCATCCTTAGACAACCTTAGTTTTTACTGGGTGGTGGCTCAACTCTTTGACCGTTTTCATGGTATAGCTGCTACTGTCTTCTAGCACCAAATGGTCGAAAGTACTATGGTCTAACGAGGCAAATCCAACGATGGCCAGACGTAGGCAAATGTCGGACAAAGGGAGTTTCTCGAGGCCCAGAAGCTCCGTGGACGCAGTACTTTGTGGCGCAACCAAAAAGGAGCGCAGCGGCGCGGCCTCACCAGGTCTTACCTGTTTTACTAGCACATCTGATGCCTTGGCCATGTTCATCCGTGTTTGCCATAGCTAGAGGCTCTCCGAAACGGCATCGTGGTGCCCCAAGATGGGTGAAAAAGGTGTCGCGCAACGGCTAGTGTCGATCCAGCTGTTGCGGACTCCAGCCGTGGCTCGTCAGACATCAACAGGCAAAGCTACACACATGAATGAAGGAGCCCAAGGGGCTAATTCCCGTCCTCCTGAATCAAGGGAAGCCACCGTGAGAATGGAGATTTGGTGGACATGTCATGCCACATGTCATACCAAAAGCGGTGCTTCTCACCGATCGACTCATCGGCACCAAGGGTGTTTTTTTTTTTCTCTTTGCTTCGTCATGGGCTCTCTCCAGTCTGCCATGAATCATAAAGCTTTCATGGATTGGCCAGGCCAGTGGGCAGTGGCAAGCGAGCCCTGTCAAACATAGTTGAGAGAGTTTCTAATGCTTCGGAGCCGCCATGAGGTGGTTTCCACACCAAATTGTCCAGTTATACATTCTATGGATGTGTGCATTAGTATAGCTTGCGAGACTAGCCTGGATTTTAGTATAATACTCAGTATTGACTATCAATCACATCAAGCATTAGCTGTTTGCCAGCCCGCTCAGCTTCATTCTGACACGCTGCCCCATACCACGGATGCATTTCGAGCGAGAAGCTTCAATGTGCCATTGTGGTGTTGTTACATTTCGCAAGGTTGGGGCAAACTGCCCACTCTATCGGAGTCTCCAGGCATCTCAGGTTCTTTCTTGCCACTCTGTTCAGGCCATCTCCTTTTCCTGGAGACCTGGCTGGCACAGACCGCCAGCGACCCTTTGAGACTGCTCCTGGCGGCTGGGGGCCCCAAAATGGTTTGTGAGAAGGAGACCAATGACATACAGTGCTTTCAAAGAGAAGCTGGCACAAGTTATATATCCCAAGTTAGGTGGTTTATATGGACCCCCATAATGTCCCTTGTTGATGGACCATCCGTGAACGGAACATGTTTTTTTGAACAACCTTTGTTTGTCGCTGGATTTCAAGTTAGCCAAAGGTGGCAAGAGATAGCCGCCAACTCAATTTAGGCAAATTGGAGCAGCTTAGCAGCCAACGATTTTAGCAAAACGATCTCCTAAACACGCTGGCTACAACAGACAGGAAAATGAGCACGAGGTGGCGCCCCCAAAGTTAGGAGCAAGGGACATATACTGTAGTGAAATCACACCAGAGACTAGCAGAGCATACCTTCAGTCATTCTGACTGAAATTGTCGGACAGAAGGTGGGTTTGGTTCAGCATGCCACCGACTCTGCGCATGATTGTTTGAAAGCATGGAGAAAGACCTAACCTTCAGACGATTGTTTGGTGGTGACCGGACTGCATTCTGATGTGACGGAGGTCTGCCTTGTGCTGATACCGCTGGGTGGTGGTCCCAAAGACCTTCTGAAGGACGTGCCGACATGGCGGGAGCTTGACTGGATCAGTCGTAGGGCAACGTAGGTTTCCAAAGGCACCGTCCATTGCAGCAATGGCTTGCCAACATAAGCACCACTCTGCCAATACTTCCCCAGCCTCTCCGTTCAAATTTCTCTCTTTTGGCTGAAGCCACGGGAATTCCCCGGGCTGGTTCCAAGCCAAGCAGTAAGCGTTTTCCTTTTGTCTGTTTGGTCTTTTCTTGGTCTTCAGAGTTAGCTTGCCACTCCACCGCAGCTCAGGGAGCTCCCCATCCCGTGTCATATTGCTTGCCCCTGAATCACTACAGCATCCGACAGCTTTAAGCACCAACCATCGGTTGCAGCTACCTTGGCACTAGCACTCGGCATTTGGCGTCGCTCTGGAACTGCAGCATGCACATTCCCACGGGAATGCATTTTCCATTGTGAAACTGAATTTCATGAGGGGGTTCAGATCCTTCTTCTCCTTAGACAGTCCAAAGCAACCGATTAAATGCACACATGGTCAAATCGATCCACGTCAATCCTGATTGCCTATCTCAGCCACGAAACCGTCCATCCCCAAAGTCAGATAGCCTCTTACCAAATGAATGGATTCCATGGGTTCTTGGACTGAGTAGCCCAGGAGTTTGGCGCGAGCCTTCTAATGGTGGTCACCATGTTGCCGCCAGGTTCGTGAGAGCCTCAGGAAAGTCAGGGTCTAGAGCTTCCTTGGGGTCTGATATGCGAATCAAAGACGTCTCCTTCAATGTCAGCTTCTGGATGGCTGACGTGGATGGCTCCAATGGCTTCAACGGCAGGGGGGCAGGGGCCCAGGGGGTAGAAGCTTTTAGATCCTTGTGCAAGTGCGCGTTCGGAGTCGTGAAGAAAGCAACAGCTTCACAGCTACAGCTGAACTGTTTGAGTCACATCGCCAAATCGCCAGCTTGAACCGATGCCCGGCAGCTTCAAGGTTTAGGACCCTGTAGTTGGCCTTGGTCCCGGCTGAAACCCATGGTGGCATGCCGAACCCGAACCGATTCGGTGCCCCACACGAGGAGGAGGAGGACGGATTTCTGGGGGAGGTGATCCGGAAGTTTGGAGGTTTGAACCGATTTCGATAGAATGTCCAAGAATCCGAAATAGCATGTGCGGCATGTATCTCCCTACCACTGGTGCGACTTTGTTTGGAGGGCTACGGCTTAGGAGGGTTAACATTCAACACACAATGGAAGTTCCCCAGCCGTCTCAGCCAGGGCAAGAAGCCTAGTGTGAGTTGTCGTGCTTCCAGTTTCTTATATACATGTTACATGTTGCTGATATTCCTGTTGCTATTCTGTTTGTATTTCTTCTTCTACTTCTTCCGCAAAGTGCTGGAAACCAATCCGCTGGTCTATGCATCTCACACTGTACCGATTTTCTTCGCAGGAAAAACTAAGACCTCTTGCAACCTGGGACGGGTCCTACAGGTTCTGCCCCTGCCGCTCCTATAGCGCTCGCGCATCATCAACCGTATGGTTCCGTGCGTGTCGCTGTGGAGGAGGACCTCCTAAGAGGGCGATGGAAGGCAAAGAAGGCCCAGAATAGTGACATGGATGAGGACTTGCTGCCCTTCAAGTCGCCTGAGATTTTCTCAATGGTTTTTGCTTTATAGTAAGGGCTCCGCCCTGGTGCCGCCGACCCCTTTTCTTGGGGGAGGAGCTGGAAGACCAGAAGCCGGACAGGGATTGCTATAACCATACACCGGCTATGTCCTCAAGACTCTGTATTCTTGATTCCTTTTCACGAAAGCTAGCATGCTAGCTGACTTCTTCGTTGCTTTAGCAATTGGTAGTGGGATGAGCTGTGTGCCTTAAACCTTGATATATCACACTGGTGGTGCTTGCTGCCGGTGGTGCTGCCGGTGGTGCTGCTGCTGCTGCTGCTGCGGCTTGATGCTGCGCTGCTGCTGCGTGGTGCTGCTGGCTGGCTGCCGGTTGGCGGTTGGTGCTGGCTGCTGGCTGCAGGCGGCTGCTGCTGCTGCTGCTGCTGCTGGCCGCTGCTTGCCGCATAGGACTTGTACTTCACCGTTACAAGTTGTTCACCCCTAGTTCTAACCTAATGCACGCAGAAGCGGGTGGCAAATTTACCCCCCAGGCTTGCTATAACCATACACCGGCTATTTCCTCAAGACACTCTATTCTTGATACCTTTTACCAGTGCTTATCCTACACTACGGACGCCCTACTGTATGTGCAGTCCGTATGATGTCAGAAATGCTTACCCCTCAAGGCATACAAAAGCGGCGGGTAAATTTACCCCCCAGATTTGCGGAGCACGCATCGTCGTGCTTGCCAACGAGTGCACCCGGGTTGTTCCAATGTACCCTGCCCAGTCAGCGATGTCGCATTTACATTCTCTAGCGCCAAGCATGTACATAGCAACCTTCCTCCCAAAACATGTAATCCCTACACGCTTTGCCGACTATGTAACTAGTACATCCGGTGCGACTTGGCTAGCTTTCGACCTCCTCCCCCTGGGCGCGGCCCTGCTGGGTGCCGGGAGGCTTTTGAGGGCTGGCAAACGGCGCTTTCGAAACGCCTAAGGAGTGACATGCACCGGCTTTGGCAGGCAAGGCTGCGGTGTAGGCATGTGCAGCCAAAGGTCCCGGGAAGGGCTGTGGAGCCTGGCCAACGGCCCTGCTGGGTGCCGAGAGGC